GCTAGCATCGCCGCTCTGCTATTTGAGTGAATGGTCACTTCTCTGAAGAAGGCTGCACTCCGGAACAGTAGATCTTCTCCTATCTTAATGGCTGCAACCTCGGCTTGAAAGACATTGCAATAGTTAGGAAGTCTGAAGCTAGAGTTGATAGAGAGCTCCAGTAAAACCCTTCATCAACCTTCCCCCTGAGCTTTGACCCGTCCGTAAAGAAGCTCCACTGATCCTCTCCTCCAACGTTTGGTAAAAATTCGCAACTTTCTAGCGCCATAAGACTTAACTCGAGCGCACTTGTGCAAGACGAGATACAAAATTTCACAGCCACCTTTGAGAAAAATAATGACCTTTTACCATATTTTCGAAGATAATGGTTTTGAACCATCAAATCGGTACGGCATGGTGCTTAAAGAGCGACATCATATTTAAAACCTAATAAGAGCTCTGCGGAAGATTTATAGTCCTTTGCGCATTGACAAAGGCGAAAAGCACAGTCGATGGAACGATGAGCTGCATGAGATATGCGACGACATTGACTACGTCACAACGTTCGAAATGGATGAAACCGCTCCAGCTCTGAGAGTATTCAACGCAGTACCTGCTGGGGGAAGCAGAAGAAGTGGAAGACCTCCACTCCGTTGGAAGGACCTGGTGGAGAAGGACCTGGCTTCTCTTGAAATCTCCAAGATTCGCCATATTGCGAAAAGAAGAAACGACTGGCGCCCTGTTGTTAACTCGGCTATAACCGCATAAGCCATTTCTACGCCACTAAAGAAGAAGAAGAATGGTCACCACTTCTAAAAGGATCTCCAGAGATGATGTTTCGATGCATTTTTGGCTTTTGAGGGGGTATTCTACTCTAGAAATCAAATTTTGGATAGTTTTTCGAATTTTATTTAAAAAAAAAAAACCAAAAATATTTGCTTTCCATTTTTTTATGGTGTTTTTATTGACATCTTAAGAATACAGAACAAAAATTTTACAAAAAAATATTAAAAATTAAAATAATTAGAGGGGGGAGGGTGGAAGGAAGGGGTGAAAAAAAATGGCGCATCCTGGTGACATTGATCCTGACTCTCATGGTGGTCTGAAAAAAGAACACGAAATTTTTGTTTTTGAAAAATGGGGACTGCCTGAAAATAAAAATAATTTTTTACGTTTTTTTTTGAAATTCCTGAATTTTTTTTAAATNGCGCATCCTGGTGACATTGATCCTGACTCTCCTGGTGGTCTGAAAAAAAAAAATCAAAAGAAATTTTTAATTAGTAAGGATGCTGTTATAGTCCCTATTTCAGGGAACAAGAAATTTTTTTTTTTGAAAAATGGCGACTGCCTGAAAATAAAAATCATTTTTTACGCTTTTTTTTTGAAATTCCTGATTTTTATTAAAATATTGAAAACAAAAGATTAAGGATTATATAAAAATAAAGGATAAAGGATTATATAAGGAAGGTTCACTAAAATTTTCAAGTAAATCGGTTGTGCAGAACTTGAGATAATGCCGGTACCGTGTGGAAAAAAGTAGTTTCGAGAAAAACGCGCTTAAAAAAGTGAGTCCACTTATCTACCGGGCTAGGTACTGCGTCACTAAAGTAACTGTAGCTCTTAAAATAATTTTAATTTTTAAAAATCCTTTGGAGGATATGTTCTTAAGGGTCTAAACTTTAAATATTTGAAAAAGAAAAAAATCGAATTTTTCAAAATTCTAGAGTAGAATACCCCCTTAATCTATAGAAGGATTTGCAAATATTTAGTAAATGACATCTACTTTTAAAAATATCTCCAGATAACTTCCCTCGAGACTTATTTGTGTATACGGTTATCTTATATACGATTAGCTTTAAACCCCTTCCTCTCATAACGTTATGATTAAAACTTTTCCGACATCTTAACATCAAAGAAGTATTTTCTCTACAAATGACATATGAAATGTGAATAAGAATCTTTCAATGCAACTATAATATAAAGTAAGACCTCTTCCTACTTTCCTCCACAAATAACTACACAATAATTTTAAAATATTGCACAAAACTTTTATTTGCCATTTCCTGTTTGCCTTCAAACTCTCTAAACTCAATGCATTGACATAGCTGCCAACAGGCCTTGCCATGTCCTTCCGTTAACATCTTGCTAATTGCCAAATAACGACGTTCGCCGTTCGTAACTCTGCATTGGGAAATGCATCTCAGCGCCGTTAGTTTGCTTTTAAAAGTTAGTTAAAAGTCAGCGAATTTGTCAATGCATAAGTGTGTCCAAAGTTATCCCAGTTAGATGTGTTAGCTGTGCATTTTCGCTCTTAACTACGCGCTTAACTTGCAACTTTGGTCGGCCATCAAAGTAACTGTTCTATTGTGCTGTTGTGCTTATTCTTAATTTTTGCTGCTCACAAGTTTTCGTAAATCTTTTCGCCCGAAAAATAGTTTGGACTAACAAAATATCAAGTAAAAAAAGTTGTGTGGAAGAAGCTTGTCTTCCGCCACTTTCCCGGTGTACTCTCTGCCGCGTTGGGAGAGTAGGGGTATACGCAATGTGCTACAAGATTTTTAACACAACCATTAATGTGGCAAATATTTTTGATTGTAATGGTGGAGATACCCAACAAGCAATTTAAGCTTCCTTTAATTTTACTGCTAGCGTCTTCGAACTTTTAGTACCCACTGTGTGTCTATATCATGCGGTTTGGCTATTACATAGACCCAAAAATAACATTAATTGTCATTATTTCACAGTTGTAAGTTTGGACTTTATATAGTGAATAAAGTTCATGTCTGTCTTCAGAGGTTCACATTTGAGGTTAAGGAATCGGCTAGAAGCAAAGCTTATGCTATCTACTCTTTTTAGGCTCGTTCTTGCACTTTGCTAGTTTGCTGTGATATGTATGCATAACTAGGCCTTCTTATATCATACTTAAACGCACAGATTTGCTTTGTTTCACTTTTCATTATGTTCCACCATTGCCATTCCAGTCTTATTTTGCATTAAATTGCTTAAATTTGCTAAACATTATCTCACGTAGCTTACTTTGGGTATCTTCAACTAATACGAACATGAATCATTGTGTTCCATTCCATTTAGTTTCTTAATGTTCCGTTCCATTTCGTTCCTTTATATAAAAATGAACTAATGTTTCTTTAACAGTCTTTTTGATCTATAATTAAATATATATTTTTTTTAATTAAAATCCATTTATTCATTCCAATTGGTTTGATTCCATTTTGTTTCTTTATGTTAAAATGAAAAAAAAAAATAATAACTTTTACATCATTCGTTTCTTTTTCAATTATTGTAAACCATAAAAAACCAAATTGTTGTATTATGTTCTATTTCATTTCGTTCCATTATGTTCATTTCCATTTTGTTCCTTTGTATAATAATAAACTAATATTTCTCTCCCTGTCTTCTCAATCGGGAATTATATCTTCTGTTTGGTGCAAATCCATTTACTCCTCCTAATTGTTTCAATTTTGTTCCCCTATGTAAAAAATTAACTAATCTATCTTTCGTGATATTTTCAATCAAAAATTTGCTAATTTGTTCCTTTACTTTCTGTTCCATTTCGTTCATTACTAAATTAGCAAATTAGTATATGTTTTATTGCTTATTCGACCATTATTTATATTTTTTTGATTCAAATTCGTTCTATGATTCAAATTTGTTACTATATGTTCTATTCCATTTCATTCCTTTATATAAAAACGAACTAATATATCTTTTCTTGTCTTTGCGATCACTATTTATATTTATTTTTAATTCAAATCCATTCTCTAATTCTAACTTATTCCAGTATGCTCTATTCCATTTTGTTCCTTTATATTAAAATGAACTAATATATCTTTTCTTGTCTTTGCGATCACTATTTCTATTTCTATTTATTTTTAATTCGAATTCATTCTCTAATTCTCTATTCCATTATGTTCTATTCCATTGCGTTCCTTTTTATAAAAACGAACCAATAAATCTTTTATTGTCTTTACCTTACTACTTATATCTATTTTCATTCAAATAATTTCTCTATTTCCAACTTATTCCATTATGTTCTATTTCATTGTGTTCCTTGATATAAAAAATAACCAATATTTCTTTTCTTGTCTTTGCGATCATTATTTTTATCTATTTTAATTCGAATTCATTTTATAATTTCAATTTATTCCATCATGTTCTATTCCATTACGTTCCCTTTTATAAAAACGCACCAGTAAATATTATTTTTGCTTTTCGATCACTATTTATATCTGTTATTCATCGAAATCTATTTTCTAATTCCAACTTATGTCATTGTGTTCTATTCCATTTCGTTCCATTCGTATAAAAATGAATTAATCTATAATTTGTTGTCTTTTAGATTCTATTACATCAATTTTTCTTTCTAATCCATTCATTCCAATTTGTTCTATTCCATTCGTTCCTTTATATCACAATGAACTAAGTTCTCCCTCTCTTCGAATACTACACTCTATTTGATTTCCATTTCCTGATTCTCACATTTTTCAATTATCCTTTATTATCGCTTACTGGGTATAATCACTAACATTCACATCCGTTATTTATCACATCAAGTTAGACCTTTAAGTGCATCCATCAGCATCCGTAATGTTGCAATATGTTTAGTGGTTGCGTGCGACTTAGCTATTGGTCAAACCGCATAAACTTCGAAGCATGCAGCAACTAATTTATCGAGCCACAAATAACATGGCTCTAGGCAATGCACTACGGCCACGAATGTACACACACACATAACCTCACTTTTGGGTTGCAAGTACTCGCACAGGATGTGCGAAATTACAAGTTTTAGTTAAGTGTGTACTCACTCGTTAATTTTCAACGCAAAACTACATTAAAACTTTTTCAAATTGGTTTTCCGAAAAATTCACGACTTTCGCCACATTCTCATTCTCGTTTTACTTCTATATCCACTTTGTGTGCTTTTGGTCTGCTGCATCTGTCACTATTTGCGGCAAACACAAATCAAATAATTTGCTTTCCTCCCTGTGATCTCATCGTTTCAGCTTCCGAATCGATGAGCAAACTTTTTCGGCCATCTTCAGTCTCACGTGCCACACCCACCAAAAGCGTGCCGCCCACCGCAAGCGATAAAGTTGATGTCGTGTCCACCGCGTCGGAGGCGACCAGCACAGCACCAGCGGATAGCATTTCATTGATATCGACGGCGAGCAGTGGCAATAAAGCGCTGGATACGGGTAACTCTGCCGCAGCCGATCCGCAATCCGACTCCGTGCGCACATATACACACTCGATTGCCAGCTCCTCTTTGGGCATGCATGACGACACGGTGTCCACGGCTTTGTTGGTGGACACAAGTTTGCATAGCGCCAGCGAATATGACACGGAACGAGCGGCTGCACAGGCTGAACCGATGGGCAGGGAGCGACGCGTGCCAAATGGTAAGTTTACTCTTTGTTTGATTTCCTATAGAACAAAATCGCATATTTTTGTGTTTACTAATGCGGCTGTGTCCACTTATTACTTCATCTCTTCCAGCAAATCCCTTCTTGAACGAGAAAACTTTAATAGAACAGCCGGTTTTGGGTCAACTATCGCAGCTCACCCTAAAAATAGGCACACCCTTCGAACAATCCATTGTACGGTATACGGCGCGCTTGATAGCTGCGCGTTTCCTGCTTGCTGGGCAAGCAAGCGCTTTGCTGAATGACACGCAAATACGCATCTCCATCAAGAGTCTTTCGCTGTCGGTGCTGGCGCATTGCGTACGCTTCGATCCGGAGGTGTTGCAACTACCTTTGGAGATCACCGCGCGTGAGCTGCTGGATGTGAGTAAGCAGTCGCCTGCGCTCGCCGCCACGGCGGTCCTACCAACCTCGTCCAAAAGTTCGAGCGCCAGCGCCAGTCCGCAAAGCGATGACAATGTCAGCGGCAGCAGCTTGAACTTGGGCAAAGACTATGAGCATTTGGATGCTGTGGACTTCATTAAAAGCAGCAGCGCGCAACCCATGTTGGCAACTGCCCCAGCGGCGCTTAATGATTTGCCCGCTGAATTGCAGCTGCTCGAAATCAAAGACGATCATTTCGGCAAAAGTACTTGTGATTATTTACTGCATTCCACAACGGAGCTCAGCAAGAGCGCCGATCCGGTGCTGATGTCACAACAAATGCGCGTCACGCCCGGCAAACCGGACACGCGGCACATGCAACAGCCTTTATCGAAGTCGGAAATTATAGCATCGAAAACGTCGCAGAAGCAGCCATCGCAGCGCACGCCAAATCAGTCGCAGTCATCGCCTTATCGCGTCACCGAATCCGTGGAGGATGCGCCACCACAAATGCTGCCACCACGTCCGCCTAAGCGCACGAAATCGCAGCGCAAATCGATTGCAACCGCTACAGCCACAGTCACAGCTCTGATGCAAATTGATGAGCATTTCAGTAGACGACCTGCACCGGAAACACCTTCACAGCAGCCGCAACAAGTGACAGATGTGCTGCTCTACTATAATCACAGCGATCCGATGTTGCGTGGTGGCGTACAGCAAATTATTGGTGGATTTCTGCAAGCGATGGGCGTGAAAGATTTGGGCGTTAGCTTAAAGTTGAATGTACAACATCTATTGGCGATGCTTGTGAAGGTGAGTGGGCAATGAGTTGGTTTAAGCTGATCGTTAGGTATTTAAAAAAAAAACCTTGGCTTTACACTAACTGAATGATCCGATGTAAAGTGATCGCTACAACAGACAACTAACAGACAGGCAACAATACTTCTGCTCTTGATCTCTGAAGATAATGCTGAATGTCATGATATATTATCTGATCAAATTTGACCCAGACTGACAAAGAAATTGCATTTCCACGTAATTCATTATCGCCTTTAAAAGAGGTTACTTTTCGAGCCAATTTCAACGCTTAATCCGATAAGTTATGTCAATCTAGGAAATAATTTTTTGTTAAATGGACCAATCTGGGTTCAATTTGATCAGATGATAAGTGCACCCTGGGCCTATTCTGAATTCTTTAAACACAAAGCAGAGCAGCTTTTGAACAGGGAGAGAATATTTTTGTGAATGAAAAGGAAAGGAATGTTAGGCGAAGGTGGAAGGGCTGACAGTTCGAAATTATGTTAAGTCTAGGGTCTAAGAAAAAGAATACGACCGACTAAGAAGATATCAATTATATAATACTTCTAAAGATTTGCTGCAGTCAGTAGCCATAATATGTCCAATAAGTCTTTCTACTGCTTTGTGTAAAATATTAGAACCTACCCTTATTATTGACGTGAACCGCTTGATTGAGTCTTTAGTCTGGGTAGTAGTTTTCTAGTATAAATTTCAATAACTACCTCTAAACAGTCGACTAAGAAAAGTAAAATTACCGTTATGTATACCTTCACAAGGTTATCTTTTGATTGCTGACTTCGATAGCATCTAACAGTAGACCAGTAACTACTTCGTCGAGATTAAACTTAATTTTAAAATGCTTGATACAAACTCAGACGTCGGATCGAACCCAGAGATCTTTGTGGGTATTTAATGTTCGCCAAAGCTGTTTTTTAAATGTTCTTGTTGCTTCTTGTATTCATCATATCATTTTGATCGAAGTCAATTTTTATGTCTTTACGAGTTGCTTGACTATAACGCGATACTGTTTTGCGTGATTTCGGAACCAATCGTGCTTTCACTCTTCTTAAGTATTTTCACTGATCCTTCTGACATTCCAACGGTGCCATTAAGATCTATGACTGTTAATCGTCGTTTTTTAAGTGCCAATTCCTTTATTTCATTGACGCATTGATCATTAGTTGATGGCCGTCCTGGACGTGGTTCTTTGTCAACGCGTTCTCGACTCTTCGAATAGTTTGTATCAATCAAAAACACGCGTCAAAATTATCACCGAAAGCCTTTTGTAACATTCTGAACGTTTCAGCACGAGAAAAGTGACTCCGCTTACAAAATGTAATGGAACTTCTTTACAGAATAATTTTACTCACTATAAAAATTGCCGAATGCATTTTTTATGTACATATTTCAGAAAGATCAGACACTAATGATTATTTTAATGTGACATTTGGCGCTGACCAACAAAAATAATATTTCGACAACATCGTTTTCGTGCGGAATTAAAATTAGAAAGTCTTACTATTTTTTGCCCACAAGTAAAATGTTGTCGCATTAAAATGTCGATCATTTATGATAACAACTTCTTAATTCAAAAGATCACTCGTTCTTTTCTCACCAAGACTCTCCTCATTTGTTGGAACGGCCGATATCGGACCACTAGAGCATAATACAATATACTATATATAGCTGCCATACAAACCGACCAAACAAATTTGATTTCTTGCTTTTTTTTTTGATTTCAGAAGCGTTTTTTAGCTGCGGCGTAGTCGAAATGAACGATTTTTTAATATTCTTTATGCTGTACAATTTTTCTAAGAATATAATCCATGCTAATGCCCATCAGAAGCTGAGTTCTTCTTGGAAAATGTTCAATTTCCTTTGCTAGCCTTGTGAGCTCCTCAATTATCTATAACTTATTACGTACTCAATATAGTAAAATGTAGGAAAAAAAGCTAAACTGCCAGTTAAGTTGCTGAAAGTATTTCGTATTTGTTTGGATTTGCAAACATTTGAAAATGCTTATCCGCTTCAAGTTTTCGCTCGCCTGCCGGCAGCTGGCCTTTTCAATTTCCTTCAGGCTTAGCCCATTAGGAGAGCAGAGCGGCCGCATGCATGCATTGTGTGCGCAGCGCTAACAAGCCGAACAATAAAATATAGAGAATAAAAAAAAAAACGCAAATTCTTTTAATATCAGCTAAGAGCTGGTAGGCGCTAGCGGGCGGGCGGGAGCGCGGAACAATTTTTCGCAAACATTTTATTTTACTTAGAAAATTTTTTCATTCATTTTTGTGCGACTTTAGTATATATAATTGCTGTTTATAACTGCATGTATATGTATGTTTGTATGTATGCATTTTGGTTTGTTCGTTGCAGGGCCTGCAAGACGACATACACACAGTGGTCATACAGGCGTTGAATGCATTCGAGAAGATATTTCCGTATGTGGTGTCCAAATATTTGATATTGCCGGCAGCGCATCATCAGCACAAGCAACAAAAACTGCAACAACAACAGCAGCAAACACATGCCGGCAGCGCCGAGGCAGCTGAAGCAGTTGATAAGAGTGGCCGGAAATGCCATGCTAATGCCGCTGGCCAAGTGCCACAACAGCAAGAACAACAACAACACCAGCAGCCACAGCAGCGCACTAACGATGCTACAAAATCTGGCTTCCACACACACGTTGGCAGCAAATCGCCGGCAAATGCCACTGCTGCTAAGACATGTCCTCGAACGCTTTTCAACGATAATGATGCGCTTATAGCTGCACTTTTGAATGATTTTCAATTGCAATCGAAATCGAATCGTAACGGCAGCGACAGCAACAGCAACAGCAACAACGACAACACCAACAACGACCAGCATACAAATGATACGGCCACTCAGCCGCAGACGGCAGCCGTGGCAGGCAGCAGCAGCAGCAGCAGCAGTTGCAATACAACTGATCCACTTGCACAGCCACTTCCGCTTCCGTTGGCCGCTTTGCGCATTTCACCGAAATTGCTGTTGAGCAAACTTCGTCTATGTCATTACAACAAATATTGGTTAGTTCAAAATAAATACGCCGAAGTTATTTCGAATTTAAATTATGCTGCCTTACATGCGGCATGCAACGTTTGCCATGGTCACTGTTGTGGCACGGCGATTGGCTGTGCATGTGCCATTGGCGGCGGCGGTGCTGAAGTGCTGGAAGACGCCGCCGCCGTTGCTGTGAGTGGCGGCTGTGACGTCTTCGTTGCTGATAACAATACCGTTAATGCCACATTGCCTGTCGGCGGTGGCACTACCACGGCGTATGCGTGTGCGGAGGATATGTCATACAAGGATTTGGACGATAGTGTCTGCATTTACGAGGTAAGCCAACGATGTCCCTTTCAGTCACTTAGCGCTGCAGTGTCGCGCATTTATTTCGAATTTAGCTTTATTGCGTTCTTAGTTGGCCACACACATCCTGCTACATACGTAAGCTATTTTTTTGTGTAGTTTTGTGTCCTTTGGAATTTTTTGCTATGCGTTCCTTCTTATGCAAGCAGTTTCCTCGCCACAAGCGTCTTCTACGTGGTCTCTTAAAGTGTGGCAGGCAATGATGTTGGCACAAAATAGTTTTCGGATTTGCAAATGGAGTCCTTATTCCACAATTTACATATGTAGTTACTTCCAAATTCTCCAAATTATTATCTAAAATACTGTGTGACCCAATAAAAACGCCATTAATATTTAATTTTCGGATCGCATTCTACTGGCCCACGTTGTTCAGCTGATGAGCTATAGCCCACACTAGGCGCGCTGTTGTAAATTCGTCTATAACCGTGTCTATGTCAGTAAGGAAAATGATATTCCTGTAGTGCTTACTAACAATCGGATCCGTTGTCAAGGATATGCGGATGATATTGTCGTGTTAGTAGTTTCGAATTCTATTAGCTAAATAGGGTACTTGAATTAGGCCTGGCAAAGGGTTGGTGCAGGAGGGTTGGGCTGAACATCAATCCGCCGAAAGTGATCACCGTTCTCCAAAGCAAAATCCCTGCTGAACCTTACGAACTTACTGTTTGGCGGGAGTGAGACTTTGGATTCCACTCCTCGGTGGATCTGATCATAGCCAAAGCTACAAAAGTTGATCATTAAAGCTGTTGAAGCATACTAATCAAATGACAGCAGATGCGTTTGGAAGAGGGACGGCAATACGTCCTCACAAATGGGTGCCCGAAGTGACTGCTGGTTTTTTTCGAAGGGATAAGTTTACGGACAGGGTAAATTTCTCAAAGGAGTTTATCCTGGGCAGCAAGGCTGAATGGAATGATTTCACATTTTAAATACGGCTAAGGAATAGTACTACTAAGTGGTACATCGCCGAGGGAATTGATACATAGTCGTAGAACCGCCCATCAAACTTTCCATGCCCAGGGGATGTTTTCCGAGCTGTTTTCAAGCAGATTTTTTGTAAGCAATTTTCGTAACGCGAGTATCGCCATACTCAGCGATTGCCAAACGCCATTTAAAACGATCTTCTCTGTCAGAAAGACTCACATATGCCAGCACACTGATAATTTCAGGAAATTTGATCAAATATCGATAAATAAATATCGAAAACCGATAGCTTGATTACTAAAAAAATTTACAAAAGTCTTTGATATTTGATAGGGGATAATAATCCAATAATAGCGATCATTATTCAATAAAAAAAAAAATCGAAAATCTCCAAAATCGATTAAAAGTTATCGATGAAAGATATCGATAAAATATATTAAATTAAAAAATTAATAGTCTCTTAATGTCATCACACAAATGTCGATTATATGAAAGAAATAACATAGGTATCGATATGATATAAAAATCGACTAAGCTATTATATATGCATGTATTTCTTTGAAATAAGCCAATTCTTGAAAAACTTTAACAATTATTTGTAACGCCAAACTTGTAACACCTTGTATGAAACGTTGTAGACCTTATAAAGTATATACACATACATATGTATAATCGATTAACATGACGAGCTGAGTCGATTTAGACTTGTACGAGCAAATCAGGCTCTCAGTTTTTGAGATATTGATCTGAGATTTTGCACAAATCCATTATTTCATAAGAAACTGCTTATTCGTCGGACTCGCCAATATCAGATCACTGTATGCTATAGCTGCTATACAAACTGAACGATCGGAATCAAGTGCTTGTATGAAAAACTTTTTCTTTTGATGAGATATCAACAAGAAATTTGGCATAGATAATTGTCTAAGGCAATGGTGCAATATCCGAAAAAATTATTCTGATCGGATCACTATAGCATTTAGCTGCCATACAAACTGAACAATCGGAATTGAGTTCCTATACGGAAAACTTTTTATTTTTGAAGCTGCAATAAGCAATTATCTTCAGAACAATTAGCTTCTATAAGGTGTCAGCTCTTTGTATTTATAATTAATACTCGTGAGAAAATTGCTGCTTGCCGACTTTTGCACATCACAAGAGACGCAGCGTGTAGGCTTTTATTTCCGGCGTTTTCAACCAATTCACCAGCAGTTGCTGAATGCCAATTTCGCACCGCTCAAATTGCACTACACTTTCGTATTGGTTTTTTCTCTCTTTTACTTCTTCTTATCCCCAATCAAGTCGCTTTCGCCAACGCCATGCATATGTAATTTCCGCTCTCACTTAGCCCTTGCAATTTGTTGAAGGATAATACAATAATTTTTGCTTGATGACTACTCTCGAATTCTTCAAATAGACTTTTAAGCCTATGCACGGCATGCATAAAAGTCGAGTGCGAATGGAATCCGAAAAATGGGTGCCAAAGCGCAGGAGAAAATCGCTTATGCACTTTAAACTTTTTACGTGCGCCCAAACGCCCAGCATGTTGATATGCATGTGCTTATCTTTCTATGTATGTATGTGTGTGTACATTCAATGTGTTTGTGTGCGTTGCTCACTTTGCGCTGGTTCCGTTTCCGCTTTCATTTTTGCGAAATTCTCTAAACGGAAATGTGTCAAAAATTGCATGGAGCATAGTAATGATGTTACTCATACGCACCCGCGCACCAACTGAGCCGCACAGTTAGTGTGCCGCGCTCATAACTATCGCCATGTGTGCCAGTGGCGGCAACGGCATTGTAGCTGTTCGACATGTGCATTTGCGCGCGCATGTATGTGTGTGTGTCAAAGTGCATATAACGGCGTCTGTTATTAACGGGTTCTATGCTCCGCTACACGCGCTCTTCCACGCCTTCACGTACATCACGCATGTATGTTTGTACATATGTTCCTTTATCTCCGCGTATTTTTATTTTCTTTTGCAGCATTTTCCATCACTCTGCCGTTTAGTCAATTTCTACAGCTTGAATCCTTGGGCTTAGGCGACGTTTGGCTCCCAGCGCCGCGTGCTCATATTAAACTCACTACACTCTGCTTCGCACTGTAACTATTGCTCAACATGCGCTTGTATGTGTGCCGACATAATCGCCTGCATATTTGCCTTAGTTACTTCGTCTTTGTTATTGCTCATAATGGTCGAACAAATTTGGCTCATTTTGTGCGACTTCGTCTGTGCTTTGCCTCGTGAAGGCATCATACTTGTACATATGTGTTTGTATATATGTTTGTAGATATATTTCGATATTGATTAGAATTATAAAGTTCTTCCTTATAATAATTTATAATATGGAGAGCCTTACAACGGATCTTCGAACGACTACAACATTTTTCATTGCAGAATTACTCTCGAACTTTTACTATTACTTGCCACGCAAGAAAAATCACTTTTATTACAATTTATGGTTGCTTTTAGGACCTGGACAATATTCTATTCATTAGATTTTATTGCTGCAATGACAAAAAGCATTAACCAAATATTTTTGAGATGTTTTGCTGATTACATTGCCCTTGAGCGGATTTAAAGCTGAGTTCACTTTGATCACATAGTTTCGCCTTGCCATTTTGATTGAGGTATCTCCAAAACATGCGCGCGTTCACATCGCCTCTTCATGCGTAGAAACACGTTGATCTCTAAGTTTATTATTTTCGTAAGGAAATAAAAAGGAGTCATTCAGTCCCACATCAGGACTATACGGAGAATGACTCAAGAAATCAATGGTTTAAGTTCTCAAAAATGCAATTTTTTCAATCGAGGTTTGACAGTTCTCATTTTCGTGGTGAAAAGTTATTTGTCTGCGGCGGTTGGTTTTCCTAATTCTTTCAAAGACAACTGGCAAACAAATTATTGTGTTTCACTCAAAATACTGTTCTACGTTGTTTTATGGTATGGTTGGGATGTGTTCACTTGTTCCAAAAATAGGCAACCATTTGGTTGAAGTGCTTCGTGCGTGAACAACTTTTGTTAGATTCGGCTCATTCGGAAACATCCACAACAGTTGACTGCAGTTTACTTTTGCTCTCATTCGTAAAACCCCTCGGTTTATCACCTATCACGGTGTCATAGACGTATTTCAAAGCGCCGCTATCGTATTTTGTTAACATTTCTCTCGACCATTCGGCGCGAGCTTTGTTTTTGAGCGATTGACAAGTTGTGTAGAATCCAACTTGAACATTTTTTACAGTCAAAGATTCATGCAATGTTGATGAGTATATACATACATCAGAATTTGTGGGAGATATGTGATATAGTTGTTCGATCTGACCGATTCCGACAAAGGATAAATATACTATCATATTGCATCTACTACGTACTTAATTTGACTTGGAAATCTCAAACACTAACGAAAAATTTTAGTGATCTCTAAAAAAATGTCGGCTTAAAAAGCTCCGTCTCGAAAATGGTTGTATATTCATAGTTCAGTTAGGCAAAAAAATTCCAAATCCTTCTTAGATACATTTGTCAGGTAATAAACAAAGAAGTAAAATTTTTGATGAAAATTTTTTTCGCCAAATTCGACCTTTCTTGAGAAGTCGACATTTTGTTAAAAATCAATTAGGTTTGCCGCGAAGTTAGTAAAACCCAGAAGGATACGTTGAAGGATATGTTGAATATATATATACAAGTATTATATATACATAAAAGCTCAACTGTACATACACGCCCTTTTCAAGTAGCTGCACATTTGTCAGAACCGCCAATACCGGACCACTCTAGCATAAACATTCGGAATCTAGTGCTTATATGGAAAAATATCAAATATCACATGCTTTATATACCCTGAACAGGGTATATTAAGTTTGTCACGATGTTTCTAACACCCAGAAGGAAGCGTCGGAGACCCTATAAAGTATATATCTAAATTATCAGTATGTTGAGCTGAGTCGATTTAGCCATGTCCGTCTGTATGTCTGTCTGTCTGTATATATACAAAATAGTCCCTCAGTTTTTAAGATATTGTTTTTAAATTTTGCAAATATCAAATATCAGGACCACTAAAACATGTAGCTGCCATACAAACTGAACGATCGGAAGTTCTCGTATGGAAAACTTTCGCATTTGACAATGTATCTTCATCAAAGTTGGTAAAGGTTATTTTCTAGGGCACCAATGTAATCTCCGATGAAATTGTTCAGATCGGTTAACTATAGCATATAGCTGCCATACAAACTGAACGACGGGAAAAAAGTTCTTGTATGGAAAACTTTTGCATTTGACATGATATATTCACGATATTTGACACAGATTATTTTCTAAGGCAATAATGTAATCTCC